ATTGTAAACCTTGTACAATAGTTCAATGAGCATAACAGTTGGCATCATTTACGCAGCGATACTGATGTGATAATTGTGGCATCTGTGATTGGGAGCTGCCAAAGTCTAACAGAATGCAGGTTTGGTGAATTCGTGACTCTAAATTGACTGTAGGCGTGAACTCCCTTTTCTTTCTATGCTGTGTGTGTGTGTGTGTGTGTGTGTGTGTGTGTGTGTGTGTGCCTGTAGGTGTGCCAGGCCCCCACCATAGGTACCCATGGAGATCTCCGGACTGAAATATTCATTCTTGTTTGCTCGCCCAGACAGTGTGGTCCTAATTGCAGCATCAGAAAGCTCCACCTCTCCCTCTCGTCTGGCTTGGCTGCAGCAGAGATAAACCTCATCTGGGAGCAGGATGTCTCTGTAAGTACGTGTGTGTGTGTGTGTGTGTGTGTATTTGTACACCCGTCCTCTTTTCTGGGGTTTTTAGGTGGGTGCTTGGCTTGCTCTTTCTTCACTTACTCATTTACAAATGTTGCACACAAAGCCCCCTTTTCGAGGAGCGCTTCTCATCACAAGTCTGTCAAATTCATTCATTTGATTTGCTCCATGTCACATTTTCCCCTTGTATTTCAGCTTGTCTTCATGCCTCATTCCTTCTGCCTGTGATGGAGTTGGGTCGACTATTGATCTTTCTGTCAACATGTCTGTCTGTCGATCTGTCTGTCCACAGGGCGAATATGAGGCTCTGGAGTTTTTCATCAGTTCCCGTGCCAACCCTACCCATGCCTGGCCAAGCTGAACCATCTTGTGGGATTTTTGGCTTTTAATTATAGTAAGAGAGGATTAATTATGGCAGTGGAAACAAGGGGCCATGCATTATTGATGCTATGAGTGAAGGGCTGGAGGGGGTAGAGGGTGCTAATTAAATCACTGCCCTACTGCCATGTCCTCCTCCGTCTCTGCCTTCACCATGTCTTCCACCTGCTACATCTACAGCACCCCACCCTACTTTGCTCCTGACATCCAGGCACACGTGTATTGTTGCTCTCACATATCTACCAGTCACATCACCCTCTATTATCCTTGAGGAAACCTACATGTCAAAGTTTAAACACTGAGTTTCTCTCATTGTTGCCTCATGTCCGTTCAGCTTGTCCTTCACCCTCATAGTCCTGTCTTAGAATTTTCCTCTCTGTTTTCACTGTATCTTGATTAGACTGCCGCATCCTATTAAGAGTGATTTATTC